GAGGGATAGATAGGTCGGGGGAGATAGGCAGGGGTGGGAGAAGTGGAAGGAGGGATGAGAGGGGGATCTGTGGTTAGTATATAAAATGAATAAAATTTTTTTAAAGAAAAAAATCAACTGTTACTACTTTTCAAGTTTTTATTTTTATTTTTAAGTCAACTACATGCTCCTGCTGTACTCTAAAATTCTAGAACACATCTACTTATTTCTGTATTAGTAACTGGAGAAAGTGAAGCATTTTATAAATTATTATTTGTAGATTGGTGGACTTTGCAGAATAAAATGGATTCAAAATCAGTCACCAAGTGATCATTTTGTGCAACCAAGGCCTCTAAGAACAAACTGTAGGAAGTAACCAGTGGTGTATGTTTGTTTTTTCCTGTTCAGCCCAGCATGTTTCCAGAAATGTTAGAGGGGTAGGTTGGCTACATGATATGGTACAAGAAAACTTTCATTTAAAAATGGGCCATTTGTTTGCATTGGCATTCCTTCCTGATGATGAAATTCTAGGTATATATGCCCAAAGAAGCCAGCCAACTTACTGCTTGGTTTGAAAATAGTCATGTGAATAGCACTACTTGAAGACACAGTGGTGTTACTGTCCACCATTAGTCATGTTTCTGCTGGGTTTGTGGTTTGGATGTGTGTGCATACCGAATGGATTCCTAGTGTCCACCACAGCAGGGAAACATTGTTTAGTAGATGCAAAAATGGAGTAGGGGATATTCATCTTGGAACACAATGAATTATAGAAAAAATGCAAAAAGAGCAAAGCCATACAGAAGAAGAATGTGAATGTGTTCTCGGGGAGTCATGCCCTGAGAGAGAGAGCAGATAATTACAGTAATGCAAGTTCTCAAAATACAGTTAATGTTTGCATATGTGTGGTCACTCTAACAGTCGGAATAGTTATCATTGCCCACAATCTACTTTTCTAATAATCCTTTTTATATCTTGAAGTTTCTTACTAGTCTTTTCATTTCACAATTTTAATTGTTATTATATTTTACAATTCACTCTTCAATGTATCTCATTTTCACCCAATTTCCACTACAGGAGGTATAAATTGTGTAAAATCTTTTAGAAGGCTAATTCATTTATGCATTTTTTTTTAAAATCAGACTCTGTAAAAACGTGTTATAACATTGATATTTTGGCCGGGTGGTGGTGGCACACGCCTTTAATCCCAGCACTCGGGAGGCAGAGCCAGGCGGATCTCTGTGAGTTCGAGGCCAGCCTGGGCTACCAAGTGAGTTCCAGGAAAGGTGCAAAGCTACACAGAGAAACCCTGTCTTGAAAAACCAAAAAAAAAAAAAAAAAAAAAAAAACCAAAAAAACCCAAAAACAAACATTGATATTTTGAACGTGAACCTGTGCGTGTACACAGAACTCCAAAACCATTTCAGTTGTAACATGAATTCTAACTGGTTTTAATAATAAAAACCCAGAGTCAGATATGGGGTGAAAGCTGAAAGATCAGAGAAGCGGAGCAGTCAGTCACTAGAAAGACTTATCTCTAGGAATCCTCAGACTGGAAGGGGGGACCCACCTGTCTCTGTCCATCTTATATTCCTCCCTCCGCCCAGCCATATCACTTCCTGTTTCCTCCTCCCAAATACTGGGATCAAAGGCATGAGATCCCAAGTGCTGGGATTAAAGGTGTGTGTAGCTCGAGTTTTCCTGCCTGGCCCACAGTCAGGACAAATCTCTCTCACCTGCCAGTCCCACAGCCGCTCAGACCCGACCAAGTAAACACAGAGACTTATATTGGTTACAAACTGTATGGCCATGGCAGGCTTCTTGCTAACTGTTCTTACAGCTTAAATTAACCCATTTCTATAAATCTATACCTTGCCACATAGCTCATGGCTTACCAGCATCTTCACATGCTGTTTCTCATCATGGCGGCTGGCAGTGTCTCTGACTCAGCCTTCCACTTCCCAGCTTTATTCTCCTCCTTGTCCCACCTACACTTCCTGTCTAGCCAATGGCCAATCAGTGTTTTATTTATTGACTAATTAGCAACACATTTGCCATACAGAACATTCCACAGCACTTCCCCCTTTTTTTTTCAAAAAGGAAGGTTTTAACCTTAACAAAGTAAAATTACATATAATTTGGGAATTTGGGCGTAGCTTTTCTTACTACTTCCTGCTGGAGGGGGGCACTGTATCTTGTGGGGAAACAAAGAAAATTTTAGAATTATGGAATAGTCCATGAGGCTGTATCGTCTGAGACAGATGCCTTCAAACCATTCTGGATGTTGGATCATCTGGGCCATGGTGTCATCGGAGACCTTTTAGGGGGTCTTGGCTGGTCAAACCTGATGTATCTTAATCTGGAACAAATCCATAGCCTTTGGCTTTCTGTGGGAACAAAAGCAGAGTCTCCTTTCCAAAGCAACATATCCTTATATCCAGATTTTGAAGTCAAGGTACCTTTAAAATATACATTTTGACATAACTGAACAGCTTTTACAATCAAATGTTTTTCTGAAGTTAAAAGTCTCAAAGACAGCACAATCCAGATTCTCTGTGTAATATTTATCTTTACGTGGCTTATTTTTATATTAATTTTACTGTCTCTTTAAAGACTTTATTTTTTTAAACTATGTATTTGTTTATATAACTATATATCACCTTTTTTGTCTCTTTCAAGCCTACGTATATTTCACACACATTTTAAACTATTACATCTGAATCTGTCTTATTGTGAATCTATTGCTTTAAGCTGCAGCAGCTGTGGCTGCTGGCTCCGCCCACCTCAGCTTCCCAACATGGCGGTGGTACGCCTTCTGCCAGCTCTGGGAGCTATCCTGGGTCTATGCCTTTATCCAAGCAGCGTGTAGCCCAGAAACCTCTTTTTTTGGTTTTGTACTAGCAAAGGCTAAATCCACCATACAGCTTAATGTGCCACTTGCAGAGGCCTCATTCCTGCCATACGGCAGGTTGAGCATACACACCAGGAACCCGCCACTAGCTCAAACTGGCAGCTGCCGCTCATTTGAGAGAGACAATTATGAAGCTATTTTTAGCTCCATTTTAGAATCTTTTTTCTCAGTTTTTAGGTGGAAACTCTTGCCACCACGTTGGACGCCATTTGTTGCTTGACTTATTTTTTATATTACCTTGAGCCTATTGCTTTAAACTGCAGCCTTCTAAGCCTGAAATGGCGCTGGCGCTGTGGCTGTTGGCCTGTAGCCAATTTGAATGCACCAACAATGCTGAGAAACATTAGGTGACTGTCCAGGCTGCCAGCTGTCTCAGTCTACTTGCTTGCATCCATCTACCATTTCTCAGGTACCATTATATTCCTTCTCAGGTCTTTGATGGGATTGAAGACTAGCAGTTATAGTTACAACTTAGTAGATAGAACATATTAAGTATTAGATTCAGGTTCTTTAGGATAGGACACCTTTTGGAATGATCTTTGTAACATGCCATTTACCTATGCTCTATACTTCTCTGGATTTTAGTATGTGTTTCTTGCTTGATATTGTTTGCATTGGTTGTAGTTCCATCTTATCTAGGTCATTATCCCTCATTATTCTTGGACAATATTTGATAACCATTCCTTTGTATATAGTCTTGTATTAGGTTAGAACTTTCTTATTTAGACAAAAAGGGGGAGATGTAGTGGGTAGCCATTCCAGCTTTGTTCTGGAAGTTCCAACCCCCATTGAGACTTCGGCAACTGTCACGCCTACAAGGCGGGGCCAAGGGAGGCGCCTGGGGACCCGAGATCTGGATCCACGGGTGCGCGGGCGGTGCCGGGAGCCTGGATAGTGGAGGTGGACCAAGCAGAGCTCCAGAGAACACCACTGGACTGTGATACACCTTCCCCAGACCCCGCGACCTACCTATCCCTTAATTTGTAAGTTATGCCATTAAATAAATCTCCTTTTAACTACGTGGAGTGACCTTAATAATTTCACCAATAGGTGTGTGCCACCATGGCCTGGCCTCTGCTTAACTAATGGCTAGCTCTGCACTCTGATCTCCAGGCAAGCCTTATTTGTTAGAGCATAAACAAAATATTAACACACCCAGTAAATGAAAGGATGTCCTTTTGTAGGTCTGCATCAGTGATTGTAACATTTCTTGAGGTCTCAGCTCTGTAGTTGATCATATGATGTGTTGGTGACTCAATTTGTCTTTTACAGATGTTTTTAAAAACCATAAGGGGTTAAAGTTTGTAATTCAGATGACTTCAATTGTAAAGCTCAGCTCATCTGACTCCTCAGAGTGAGACACATCAGTGCCTTTTGTACTGACCTGTTTCCTGATTAATATGCTTTGTCTGTTCATAATGAATACTCACAACTGCCATTATTATATCTAAAATTTTATATTATATAATATATAATATTGCCTACTTTGTTGAATAAATTGGCCTCTGAAGTGTTATATATTTTATGTTTCATAAATAAGTCTCCTTTTAAAAATGTAAACAAGTGAGTCAGATGCCTTTTAAATATACTTAAGATCTTTTTTTCACAGAACATTTTTTTGAGATTTTTGATTTTGATCCTTCGATAACTTAGATGAATTCTTTTGATCTTTCATCATTTCAACATTTGGGTTTGCATCTTTGTGATTATGGCCCAAATCCCACTATTTCAGTGAAACCTTCCTCTATGACAGTTTTTGTATAGTTACACTACTCTACACACACGGGGATTTCCCTATCTTTGAGACTCTGCCCTTATAGTCCTAGATACATACTACTATTTGTCAGAGTGTGTGGGATACACACATGCCTGTGCATGGGCGCACACACACAAAACTAGTTATCCATATTTTGTGTCTATCCACTTAGCTATTACATTGGGAATAGAAATGTTTTGTTTTATCAGTGCTTTATTTCTCATCATTAAATAGACCCTGATACATAGTATTTAAGAAAAAGTTACTACAAAATGAGTAAGTGAACAGTTTACCTGTTCCCTTAATCAAAATCTTGATGTTTACAGAATAAATAATTGTGCATTTAAATTTCAGGAGCAGAAAACAGTTCTTCCTTCAAGGCAGGTAGTACATGAAGCCATAGAAGACTTTCTCTGTAATTTCCTGATCAGAATGGAAATGACCAGAACGCTGAACTGCTTTCAGGCTGAATGGTAAATCATTATATGGCTGGGTAGTTCTCTAGTAATATTAGCACATTTACTTGTGTAAATTGAACTTTCTTAAAGGACTTTGCAATAATAAGTACTCTGGTTTCTTTTGCTGTTGTTGTGATAAAATACAAAGGCAACTAAAGGAAGAAAAGGTGTATTTGGGGGTCACTTCATGTTATGTCATGGTTTTTACAGTTGTTATGGTGGGGACCCCGAGGCAGCTGTTCACTCTGAATCTGCAGTCAGGAAACAGAGGCCAGTGAATGCATGCTTGTGCTCAGCTCATTGTCTCCATTGTATACAGTCCAGGGTCCCATGCCCAGGTAATGGTCCTGTCCATCATTAAGAGGGATCTTTCCATCTCTAACAAAATCAAAACAATCCCACAAAAGATGTTTAGAGGCCCACCTTCCCGGTGTCTGTAGGTTCTGTCAATTTACAGTTAACACTATCAGTGTGAACTTACATGTATGGGATAAACCATTCCAGTCTCTATGTTGAAACTATAATACAGACAAAGTGTCAGGGGACTCCTTCCCAACAAAACTTTAGTCAACAGCCTTTTCAGTATTCAAATTTAGCTTCTTTTCAAATGATCAAGGGGATGAAATGTCCTCTGGAGTCATATAGCAAAATGTTATTTTTTGAAATATTTTCCTCTTAGTTTTTTATACTTGATATGGTATCATTTTGTGTATTTAGATACCCCCTAACACTACTACTTTTTATTTATAGTGAAAATGATTTTTCTCTATTTATACAGCTGATAGATTTTTCTAAAAATATTTTTGATTTAGATCTAAATTGAATTGTCCTTTCACATATTACCCTAATATGATTTTCTTGTTAAAAATAAAAATTGTAATGTCTTATTGATTGTGAAAACCAGCAGACATGCTACCTTTATTCTTTCGATATAACAATAATGGTCTTTGGATTCCTAATATTTTTTTAAAAATAGGAAATGACAGATATGAAGTAAATGTTGTTTTTACCAGATGTTGCTTATTATAGAAAGTGGACTTCTATTAAAAATGTTTATAGAGTTTTGTGACTGAATTCTAATTCTAATTCATCTGATATATAAGATTTACTTTTTGTTTTCTTGGTCCACTGATATTATACACCTAGAAGTAATCAGTTTCATTTTTTAATTTTTGATATTTTTGAGAATATTGTTAGTATTGTATTGACACTCCTCTTCTACTCCCAACTTCCTCATTTCACCACAATTTCTTTTCAAATTTCATTATTTTGACTGTATATATAATATAATAAATTTTATGAGGAGAAATGAGATCTGTTGTTAATAGCAGACCAGAAGATGGAACATTGGGAAATAGGAGGAGAATGCTATTTTTAAACCAGGAAACTTGTGTGCATGGTTTAAAAATAAATTTTCTAAAGAAATAATTGCAAGTAAATTAGAAATACAGGGAGGTCATTAATTTGTTTCTAATTAGATTAAAACTTAGTATTATTTAATTATTTTTATGTCTCACAAGAACATGTTAGACTATTCCAAAGTGTGAAATGACTCTCTTAAGCAAATGATCCAACTATTATATATGTATTATTTTAAACTCTTTTTTTGTTATTACTATGTGTGTATGTGTGCATGCATTAGTTTGTGCACATGTGCCTGCCATAGCACCCATGTAGAGAGGTCAGTTGGAGTCACTTTTCCCCTAACTACATGTAGGTTCTGGGGCTTGAACTCAGATAGCCAGGTGTGTGGTAGGCAGATTTACCCAGTGAACCAACCTGCCATGCCTCAAATATATTCTTAACAAGTAGGTGATTATAAACATACTGTCTAAGTTAGCAGTCTGATTAATGAAATAAAATTTCAGAAAGCTATGGTAGTATTAAGACATAAGGAGTTCCCAAGAAACATACCCATTTAGCATTATATTATAACCAAAAGATAAAACTTATGAATGTGTGTTTATTAACTTAGTAATATTTTGGTTCAACTAATTTTGTCCCAATCTCTAGTTGCTGGTTTTTTTTTCATTTTTCTGTATTAAGAAATTTTCTACTCACTCCACATACCACCCACAGATCCCACCTGCTCCCTCCTCCCAACCCCAGCCCTCTCTCCCAAGCCACCCCGCATCCCCACATCCCCCAAATCAAGGTCTCCCATGGGGAGTCAGTACTTGTTGTTTTGTAGTTATTTCCATACTGGATAATTATTTTCCACATAACATATTTTGAATTTGATCAGCAACTGTCACCTATGATGCATATAGTAGGAATATAATTTGAGAATAGTGGATGCATTAGTTTTAATTAATGTGTGAAATATAACTTGCTATGTAGCTCATTCTGGCCTCTTACATATGGCTCTTTTGTGTTAGCCTCCCAAGTATTCATGATTCAGTCAATCATGTTGACTGAATGTACTTTTAATGCAGAAAAACAAACCCCAAAGAATATGGAATTACTGTAAATTCATGTTCTCTAAGAAAAGTAACCAACAATACTGGCCTGTTGGTAGGTTGTGCTAAAAAAATACCAACAAAAATCTGGGCAGCAATATTTGACTTACGTTCTCCGAATCCTCAAACAATAAATGCAATACATCTTTTAAACCCAGTGTCAGAAATGTGTGGCCTGGGAGCCACATCTGGCCTACTTCTTGTTTGTAAATAAAAATTTACTGGAATAAAGCCATGATTTCTTGTAGGTATTGGAAATAACTGTATTCATGTTATGAAAGCAAAATTAATTAGTCACAATGGAGTCTCTGTGAACCGCAAATCAGAAAGCAGTTTTTATGAGTTCTAAATTATCAGTATTTCCAACAACAGTCCTCAAGTTATTTTCTGTGATATATCTACATATACTGTATATTTTATATAATTATATATGTGTGTTGTTATATATGTATGTCAATGTGGTAGAAATCTGTTTGTGGAGCACTAACATGCTTCCACTGTAGGTTTGTTCAATGCTATTTTATTTCTCTTTTAGAAGTATTCATGTATAAAGTTAATTGATGCTGTAGAGCAAAAATAAAGAGGTTAAGATGAGAAAATGGCAGCATAACTTTGAAATGCTTTCATCTCCGTCTCTGTGAACATGTCCAGTCGCTCACACTGAGGCTGTCTCATGGACTCAGCCATCTGTGTTGTCCTCACCAGCCTCTAACTTGAAGCACAGTGTTATCAGTCTGCCCTTGCTTCCGACTTCCTGTTCAGTCCTGGCTACACTTCAGTTTGCCTCTGTGACTGTCGTTGCCCTGAAGATGGGGTTGTGCTAATAAGACGTGAAATTATTTATAGTATTTAATCACTAACTTAATTTGTCCCCAATTAAAGAGATTATTAATTAGTGTGTATCTTTTTAATTTATGGGAAAAAATAAATACTGCAGCTTTTGGCCAAAAAAATTTGGTGTACTATAATGACTTAGTTATGGACAATAGTTACAACTTATTTCAACTGACTAGCTTTAATTTTTTTTCATTTTTCTATATTAAGAAATTTTCTACTTACTCTACATACCACCCACAGATTCCATCTCCTCCCTCCTCCCACCCCTAGTCCTCCCTCCCAAGCCACCCCACATCCCCACATCCCCCAAATCAAGGTCTCCCATGGGGACTGACTAGGTTTATTTAAAGCCAAAGCTCAGAATTAAGATTAACTTTGAGACAATCCCTCACATTACTCAGTGTGTGTAGGAAGTGTATGTATAGTGTGACTATGTACAACTCTCAGTGAATCCCATGTAGCTAGTTATTCCTTCACCATTTAAACCTACTGATGTTTCTTTAATTGGTGAGGAACTGGTGTCTGGTTATGTGTAAGCCTCATCTCCCTATCACCATTAAGTTAAACCCAGGATTGTCAGGACTCTTACTATGTCATAATTCTTGCAATTTTCAGTATGCCAATTTTGATCAATTAAATATATGTAGATAGATTTATGTACTAAGATATGCAGAAGTCAGCCTTCTAGGGGAATATTTAGATTTAAAAAATTAGTACAAAAAATAAATATGCTAGTTAAATGTAAATGGCATGAAATAGTTAAAATGGTGATGGCTTAGAGTAATTGCTTTAGAATTTAGTTTGTATCATTTTTATTAGCTGTCTGTTCCTATGCAGCATTCACTCATTTCTCCCAACAACTGTATGTGGCAGGTAGCCACTAACATATCTTCATTTCATGGATGAGGGAATGGGCTTAGAGAGAATGGGAAATCTGCCTCAGTAAATGTCACCAAGTCCCAACCAGTAAGTGGCAAAGTCAGTGAGGCCAGACTGATCTTAAACCCCACTCTCTTATCTTCAATTCTTGGCCAGAGACTGGACGAGCTTTCCCATGTGTCTTGATTTAAAGTTCTGATTTGTGTCTTTTTTCCATTTTGCAATTACAAGGTCAGTCCTAAGTTCAACCTGGCAGAGGTTGTGTCTTCCTCCGCCACTGCCTTTTCATTCTCCTGAGAAAACAGGAGTTCCACACCTCCCACTCTCCTCTTTCCCTCCTGCTGGTTCTTCCTCAGGCCTCCTTTCCTAATCCCTCTTCCAGCCAGAATCCAGCTCTTCTGCCTCCTCAAGGTCACTGCATTTGTGTTTGTCATTTTGTATCGTGTTTTTTTTTCCCCCTCTGTTTTGGAACATTACCACAAGCACACAGGTGTGCAGTAATATCTGACATAGTACTTACATGGGGAAAGCTCCCTGGCTGTGGCTCTGCTTCCCGTTGAAGTTCACCTTGATTTCCTAGTCTCTCCCTTATTGGCACACTTTCCTGACAAAGTTTGGTGTACCTTTTTTAATTACTACTCACATCTACCCTAGTTTATCCACCACGGCTTTCATCTTTTCCACTACTGAAACTTTTTAGCAGTGACTTTCACATTGCCATTTCCAGTGATTGTTCCGAACTTTATCAGCATTCATTTCTTCCAGTAGCATTCATTTCTTCCAGTAGCATTCATTTCTTCCTTCTTGGGGCTTCTTTTTCACTTGACTCCTTGGTCACCACTCTCCGTTTCTATGACTGCTCTGGCCTTAAGATGCTTTTGGTCCTGTTTGCCTCCTCCGCCTCATCCCAACCTTGGAGCAGTGGAGGATGTTATGATTCAGTCCCAGGCATCATTTGTTGATGTCACCTCACTACCTGAACTAGTCTGTTCTAGTGTCACGACTGTAAAACATCATTTATACACTGATGAAACGCAGTTTAAGTTGCCTGCCTTGACTTCCCCTGAACTATGGATATCCGCCATCTGTCTTCACATGAATGTCTGTTAGGCATGCTGCATTTGATCTGGATGGACACAAACCCTTGGTTCTGTCCACAAGCCAGTTCCTACTGTCTTTGTTCCCACTATATAAATGGCTGTTACTGAGCCCCAAACCCTGATGCCATCATTGACTGCCTCTGCTAATACCAGACAGATGATTCCCTAGCGAATCCTGTCAGTGCTACCTTTACAGCAGGCGGCTCCCTTTACAGAAGGTTCCCTCTTCTAACCTCTGCTGTGTTTCACTTTGTTCAGCTTACCATTCTCTCTCTCCCAGGTTGCATCATGTGTTTTTGTAGAATCTGTTTCTTGGAATAGATTCACCCATTTGAAACATAAATCTGCTCACTGTTTCCCCCCCACCACTCAAACATTCCCATGGCCCTATTCTGATCTGGAGTAACGTAATTTTTTTATTTGGCTCCTTGTTTTGGTTCTGACATTTCTCAACATCCCCTTTGCTCACTTTGCGGGCTTCAGCTCTGACTATTCTGCAAACACTGGCCTTTGGCTCTTTCTTGTCCATGCTGAACATGTCTGTGTCTCTGGGCCTTTGCATTACTTTTTGTCAGCCTCAGGAGTTCCTCTTCTGTGGGCCTGCATGGCATCATCCCTCCTGTCCTTCAAGTCTCTGTTGGAGTCTGTCACTCACGCTTGTCCTTTGTGGCTTCTCTGTACAAAACAGTACAGACAGCTGCCTGCCCACCTCCTTCATTCTCGCTACTTCCCAGAACTTATCACCATCTCTGCTAGACTAGAGTTCCTGGAGTATAAGGACTGAGACAGTTCTGGCATCTTTTCTGGTAACTAGATGTGAGGAACATAGATGACCCATTGTATTTTAAAAGGCCATATTAACTGATATTTTATCTTAAAAATATAAATTATATTTAAATTAAATTAAAATTATATAATTTTAAAATTATATATAAATTAAATTAAAATTTTGGTTTAACTTAGAAATAGAACATAGCAACTAATTTCCATCAAATTCCCTAAGGCTGACATTGAATTACACATAGTCTTTTACTGAGATAACCCTGCTGTTTGATTTGTCCTAGGTACGAGTTAATACAGAAGAGAGGGACTGATTTTCGAGGACTTGGGAATGTTCCAGATGTTTACAGCCAGGTGATGCATTTAGAGAGTGAGAACAAAAACCTGAAGAAAGATTTGAAACACTTCAAACAGGCAGCTGAGTATGTTGTTCATATTACGTTTTTTCTTCTTTGTTTTTTTTGGCTAAGTAAAAACTAAAGATGGATTAAGCTGATTCATGTAATGTACTGTTTGAGAAATTCAATTCTGAGTCACTGAATTATGTTTAAGTTCTGGTTATAAGGATGTGAAAAGCTTCCCAAGTGAGGTAACTGAGCAGGTAACTGGAACTCCTTTCAAGCACAACTCACCAATGGAGTGGAATGCTAGGCATATGTAGCAGATGCTGAATTTGTTACAAAGCAATCATTTTCTTATGTGTGTGATAATGTTTTGTGGTTTGTGAAATTTTCTCTTGTGCAGATAAGCCAATTTCAGAAATAATAATGAAATTAATAGAAAGAGTGGAAGGATGGGACTAATGTGTTCTTCGTAGGAGAATTTCATTATTTTAAATTTCCTCCCAAGGAGTAGTGTTAGCTAAGGACGTTAGGTGTTAACCAGTGTATTGCTCTGGTGGGACAGGCAATGCACACATAGGGCTGGGAGGCACATGGGATCGCTAAGGACCATCTGATTAAGTTTTCTGTAAACTTAAAGGTTTCTTTCAAGATAGCTTATTAAAATAGAAGCATAAGCATCCATAGCCTCATTCTTTTCCCATTGCCAACCACCTATAGTGATTTTTGTTCCCAGTGTATATGCATAATTTTTAAATAAACTTCAGTGATGCTAATGTCATATTTACTAACTTACTTTTCAGTCCAAATAAGTAGTAATCTTTTTACTTTATTAGTTTACTTATATTTTTATTAACACAGATTTTTATTCTCAAAACTTAAAAACAATCGCAGAAGGGACACCCTTGCTTTGTAATGTCTAGGTCCAGATGAGAATCTTAACAGCTAAAAGTCTTCAACTAGAAGGGGCCTTCAACTAGAAGGCACAGAAAACTCTGTGCTTTTTTGTCTCTCTAAAATTAATGGAAGAAATAATTTTTAGTGAAACACCAACATGTTTCTGACAAAGAACTATGTGTACATATTGACTTAGGAAGAATCTACTCATGTCAGTGTCATGTGGAAATGTAAATCTTTAGCTCTAGAAGAGAATTCATGCTTTATTCACCCATTATTATTAAACATATTTAAGGAGAATCTTTTTCTGTTAAGCACATTAACACAACAATTAGAGTAACAGGACCACCTTGTGGGAGCATACTATTTTAATATATACTAAAAATTACTATAAATAAACATGACTTTGTACGGCCAAGGGAAAGAACTATTTAATATAGCCTTTCCTTTAAAAAGGCAGCAGTAAATTAAATAGTTTACACGTTCCTTTACTCATATTCTGTGCACGTGTAGGCTTACTTGGCTGGTTATGCATATCTCATCTTTTCTAAGTAGAATTTTATGTTTTACAAAGAGCTGTGTGATTATCCATGAGAATACCCGACTAGAACCACTGTTTTATCTGCTTTGTTCCATTCAGAAGGGCCTTACCCTCTGCAGCTCTGCTGGCTGTGACTCTTATTAGACAGTTTGGCCAAGGGGAATCGGATGTAGAACATCCCTCATAGTGCCGCCTGGAACCGTTTCATCCCTCATCTCCTCTGAGTTACTGCTTTCATTTGCTAATTTGCTTTTGAGTAGACACAGGCCTTTTAGGTAATGTGTTTGACTCCAGTAGTACTAAGTAATCATTGTTGATTACAGAGTATTTATTGAATAGTATATTAAAACCTGTAATTGAAATTATGTAAGCTTTTACTCATGCAAATTGTTATTGTAATGTTAAAAGAAGCCCATAATTAAAACAGGCATTACTCAAGTGAAGTGTTTCTTTGTATTTGTTGAACTGTCAAAATATAGTTTTACCCTTAATAGTTTCTGGTTATTGCTTGCCTCTGTGATTCAGTAGCATTTACAGGCTAGCAAAAAGTATAGCAGTCTGCACACTGTTTACTTGCTTTACTCTCCCTTTGAAGCAAATTTGAAGGTCCTGTTGGTCCTTAGAAGATGTTTGGTGCTCACTGAATGAATCTTCAACCCAATGTGGTTCTGCAGCACTCTTTGCTGAAGTAGTCACTGTAGCCTGTTTCTACTAAAATAGTGTCATAAAATGAATGATGTTTTGTAAAATAGTCCCCAGCAATAGCATTCATATATGTTGGTTTCAAACTTTAATCTTTGGAACCTAGATTTTCTATAATACTTACGAGGATATTTGTGTTAAACATGAGATTCTCTTTGTGGACTTTGATGGAATGCTTACCTTTTTAGGATTAGGCTGTTTTCTTAAGGCTGGGTAATCATAGATATAAACTAATACTTAGTAGGTAAAGAGAGTCAGCTTATAGATATGTCATATGACATTCTTGACCATATAATTGACGTTTAATGATGTATTTATTAAAATTAAGGGCTAGGTGTGGCCATGTGTGTGCCCATAACCCAGTGCAGTAGTGCTGCTAGGGGACAGGGAAATTGCTGGGTCATCAAGACTGCCAGTCTAGCTATGGGTTCCCATAACACAAGTAAAGAACAGATCTAGGAGACTAAGGTGTAGAGAGAGAGGGACATTTATTGTCCTCCTCTGGTACCTGTGTGCCCACAAAGGCATGTGCACCTCACTGTGCCCATGGAACACACATAAAAGGGCACACTGTGGAAGATGAACATTGATGATGTGGGTCTTCATTAGCGACATCAATGGATTTAGAATGTCCATGAAACTCACCTTTGTATGACTAAGAGTGTTTCAAGAAAGATCAAACTGAGCCCAAAAGACCATCATTTAATGTGGGTAGCACCATCCCAGGGGCTGGGAGCATTTATCTCTTACCACTTCCTGCCTGTGTACACAATGTGATGAGCGACGTCACATTCCTGCCTTTATTCCTTTTCTGCCCTGACTACAGTACTCTACTCACAGGTGTTTTGTCACAGACATCACAAAAGTCACCAGTGTAGAACACTGGTACTGAGAAGTGGGGCCATTGCTATAATAAACCTGACCATGTGCTGGAAATGGTTTGTAAGAGGAACATGGACGTCTTTGGAGCTCTGGCCTAAAGAAGTCCTAGAATATGATAAGCAGAGGTTAATGAACAATTCTATTGGGATTTTGAAAGAAAAGAATGTCAAGAAATACAGATAGTGGAGCAAAGCTCACAAGGTTTAGAAGGGAACTCTTATCAGGAACTCAGTAGAGTCCATTCATTTTACATTTTGGCAAAGAATCTGGTTGTATTATGTCTGAATCATAAGATCTATAGAGACTGAATAAGTAATGGACTGATTTGTTTGAGAAGAAATCTCAAGATAGCGTAGCATTTGGACTGTGTCTTAGTAACTGCTGACTGATCTGATCCGGGACTATTGTGCAAAGAACCCCTGGAACACAATGACACAGTTTAGTGAGGAAAGTGGTGTGAGTTTGCAGTTGAAGGCAAAGGGAGTGGCTCCGCTGTACAACATTTTGATGTGGTGACATGACCCTGTCATATACAGAGTTCATGTTTGGGAACTATGTAATTTAGCTATACTAAAAATCTCAATATTTTAAGGAGGTGAATGGTTTTCTGTTGGGCAGTATTCATGCCTACCCTCTGCCATACGCAGTCCCTGGTGACTACCACAGCATCTGCAATTGTTAGAGGGGTTATCCATATCAAAGATCAGTCTAGTATTTTGCATGGGACAAAAGAAAAGGTGCCCTGAAGGCAAGACTTCATTTTCCATAGTTCCACCTTGTGAAACTACAAATTCATTTGAAAGGAGAGACCCTTAGCTGAGAACACTGCTAAAATGGGGTTCCCTGCTCCAAAATGGCAACCAAAGAAAAGTGTTTCCCCAGGATATTCCTTGAAGGCATACAAAAGCTGCTTGTGGAGAAGGATCCAGGCTACATCCTCACCTGGCATCAGACAGACACACCATCCACATGGTGCTGGTTTTAAGCATGAAATACACAAAAGTAAGGCAGCCATAGAGGCTTTCAGCAAGGTTTCAGAAAGCCCGAGTCTAGGCAGTGTGTGGCAGAGGCATATTTCCTGCAAGGAGGCTCTGAGGGGCCATTATGTGAAGCTGGAAAGGTGAAGCCTAGGTTGCAATGGAGACCCTAGGTTAATGGAGATGTGGAGCTGTTCAGTACCCACCAAGGAAAGCATAGAGTAGATCTGACCCAAACGAGAAGTCACTATGCTGTCGGTGGCACTACTGGAGAGATGGGTCTACAGAAGACCATGGGAGCACAGATAACTTCATTGAGAGTCCCGGATGCCAGATATGGATGGCAAGACTTGGTGTTTTACCTACTGGGTTTTATTCTTGCTTTGGTCTGGCACTTCCTGTCTTCCTATTATTCTCTTTTGGAATGGGAACATTTATGCTGTGCTATTGTTCACTGGAAGTCTGTAATTTGATTTTACATGGGCCTACAGTTCAAAGTTTTCTTGAGTCTCAGAAGAGAGTTTAGAATTTAAATTTTTAAACAGCATTGAGACTGTTATAAATTGTGGGACATTTAGAGACTTACTAATTAATTTTACATTATGTGATAAAAATAAAACTTTAGGGAGCAGAGATAAAATATTATAAGTTAATGTGATGAGCTCAGGTGTTGTGTTGACAAGGGGTGAAGTTGTGGGTTGGCCAGTCTCTTTGCCAACTTGACTGGATTTAGATTCACCATGGAATCATACATCTGTGTACATCTATAAGATTATTTGCAAAAGTGTTTAATGGAGGAGGGATGGTCTTGCCCGAGTTTGGGTAGCAGTCTCCCATGGGATAGGATCTTGGACTGAATCAAAAGGAGAAAAGTGTGTTAAATTTTAATCTCTCTCTGCTTCCTCACTACAGACATGATGTGACCATCTTGCCCTGACTTCCCTGCTGTGATGGGACTATACTTTCAAAATGTGACCCTTTGTTCTTTAAAGTTGCTTTTGTCACTTTAAAAAAATCACAGCAGTGAGAAAAATAATTAACACAAAGGGAAATATTTTTCCAGTCATACAACTGATAAAATG